ACAGTTACAAGATTAAAATTCAACAATCAGTTTTATCTCTCTGTATTACCAAACAATTGAATATTGAAATTTATTTAAAAACACCATTTACAATAACATCAAAAATATGAAATATTTAGGGATACATCTGACAAAAGATGTGCATGACCTGTAGCCTGAAAATGTCAAAATGTTGCTGAGAGAAATTAAAGATGATCTAAAGTGTTAGAGAAATATATACTGTTCATGGACAAGAAAATTCAAAATTGCTAAGAGATCAATTCTGCCCAATTTCATCCATTGATTATTTGGATTATGATGATTATGTTTGCTATTTTGATTATGATACTCATGTCATGAGAGTGTACATACGTCAAAACTCATCAAATTCTACACTTTAAATGTGAGATTTCATTGCATGTCAATTACACCTTAATAAAGCTGTTAAAAAGCACTACAAGAACTTCCTCAGTGGTTTTCATAAAGTAAAGTTCAACATTTTGGGTTGAAAAATATGGGCTTTAAGATTGCTTCAGGAAAATCATTTCACCTCTTTGAGTGTTGGTCCGACAATCTACAGAACAGAAATAATAAAACCTGGCTGAAATTGTTGTTGCTGGAATAATTATACCATCCTATTTACAGTGCCTAGGATAGTGCCTGACATCTGGTATTTAAAATGTCTTAAACTCAAGGTCACAAGTGTAAGCCATTATCAGCTACTGCTTAGAAATAAGTCACTGTTTAAAATGAAGAGACTGGGGCATAAAAGAACTATCTCCCTCAGTTCACATTTTGCCTAGGGCTTATCCTGAGTTTATGTTACTTAATAATTTACATAACCTTATGTTATACACTTTAAAAATTTAGAGATGATCATGATGGACACCATGATTTGTTTCTAAAACATGAATTTTCATACACTTTGGTTTGAAAAATATTTTTTATGCAATCACAGCCTTAATGTACTGAGAGGTAAGTCTGTTGTCATTTACTTTTTAAGAATTGATCGATTTTAACCTAAAGCATTCTGATAAACAACACATGGCATTTGAAATGTACAGTTTTCTTCCCTTTAAAACAAAGACAGCACAAACTTAGCATTTATCTGTGAACTGTAATAGTGAGTATTACCAGCTTTATGAGCAGAGGCAAGTCAATAACGTTTCTAGATCTCAGTTTCTTCATTTTTATAGAGTAAGGCTTGGAGTCCATGACTTCCATGATCTTAGCCAACTTCAAAATTGTGTTGCTGGGGTAGTATTTAATGAATTATTTGAATTCTTTTTGAGTACCATGAATTAAACTTGCATATTTCAAAACTTTTGGTCAACTATTTAAGATAATTTTGTAACTAACATTAAAATACATCTGTGTTTTATCATAGCACATTATTATAAGCTTATGGAGATTATTCTTGGATCATAATCAGCAGAGAATTTTGAACTCTTTATTTATTTTATTTATTTTTATTTATTTTAATTTGTTTTTTCAAATACATTTGTCTTTGCCTGCCCCCCACCACTTTCCCTTGCCCCCTTCCTCCTTCCCTCCCTCAGCTCTTCCCTTTTGGTTTTGTCCATGAGTCCCTGCTATATGTGAACTCTTTAAATTAGAGAAATAACTGACTAGAACCACCGATACCAATACCATAATATCTGAAGGGTACCACTGTTTTAAAATAAATGTCAGTGAAAGAGCCAAAGAATCATATGGATTGGATGATTATATTAATTATCTTAATTTTTTAACTTTTTCATGTATGCACAGGATTTGATTTTTCTAGTTTGGTGTATCTGGAATATATACTTCAGAATACTCAGTTTCATGCTATTTCAGGAGTTGACAAGATAAAATGTACTTAGGTATAGCTGGACTTTGCAATGCCCTGTATTTTATTTTGAGTTATGAAATTTGGAAACAAAAGGGAATATAGGTAAATAGAATTGATTTGTATGTGTGTACACAAGTGGATGTTATTGCCAAGATTTTTTTAAAAAATAATAGTAAATGATAGGCAGGTTTTTTGTTCATCTGCCTATTTTATGAAGTTTTATCTTTAAAAGAACATTGCTCTTTGCCTACTTGCCTGATTTATGTTTGTGCATATTGTTTTAATTTAAACCCATATGAATATGCTCTGCTGAATATAATGCTATAGAATTCACAACAAAAAATTTAAACTTAATGGTGTATTTAAAATCTGCAGAACAAGATCAGAGATAGTAAACATGTGTTTTAGTAAACAAAAATACTCTGGTACTTTTATATATTCACATTTGTGTTTCTATGTGTACCCACTGAGAGAGGGACACAGATACGTGCACACGCTCAGGAATATTTTAAAAGAAACTTATCAAAATCACAATAGAACTTGAAGAGAGCACTCACAAAAATCTCCAAACCTCTAGATGATACCCAGAATAATTTTTTTAGAAATGGAGCAATAATTATAAAATATATTGTGTTAATAAATCAGAAAAGGCGCTTGAAATAATCTCATAAAATGTTATAGCTTAAATAATGCCCTTCATCAGTATTCTTTGTTTAACATTTTATGTTTATTGATAAATGAAGATGCATTAAATAATTCAAAGAAAACATTAGCTGCAAGCAAGGAATTAATAATTGATAGGACTGGAAGGACTCTTTTCACTTGGGAAATAGATAATATTAGCTTAATGTGGGGCTGTAGAAACAGAGGAAATGTAATGGATCTGCCGGCTTTAAACTGATGATGGTTATTGTGGTCTAAAACTTGCTACAAAGGCAAAAGCGGGGCAGCTCGGCAAGCGCAATAGATTTCACTCATAGAAGCTGACAGTGCAAACCGTGGCCTGATATGCCAGATTTACACACGGGAGGAGACCTCCTGATCACGACATATACCAAGGAGATGGAAAAATAAGTAAATGCAAGTTAACCATAACTGGAAATGGAAAGAAAAACCTTTGAACATATCAGCATGATAAAAATAAAGAGATTTTACTTTTCTCTTTAACTGTGCTTGAGGACAGAAGCCGCTTGGAACATGGCTACCTTGCTTTTGGCAAGAAACACCTATCATGAGTTCTTAGATTCTCACAGCAGTGCAGGCAGTGGTTCCAGCCGCGCATGTGGCAGAGCCAGTATCTTTGGGGATTTGTGGAGGATGAACACCCCCAGAGAGGAGAGACACGCACGCAGGCTATTTCCATCTCACCTGTATTTGTCCTTCTCCAAATATTAGAGAAAATTGAGTCATACCCATCTGGCATTTCCAGAGGTCATTAATTTTGCTCTGTCTTCCCTATCTCCTCCTTCACTCCTCCTCCCTAGAGGAGAGAGTTATTCTTGAAAGTGCCCAGGGAAAATTCAAGTTACTCCCTGGTAAATTCATCTTTGCCATTGGGAAGGACTCCTTAATTTGTAATATTTATAACAATTATACATCTTTAATAGTTATGTGTAATCTTTTTCAGCCAAACTGAACCTTTAACTACTGATAGCCATTTCATAAATCATCCCTATTCATCACTTTTGCCTTAGACACATGAATTTCCAAAAAGGTAGATTTTTAACTAGTTTCAAAAAAATTATTTCTTTGCTAAAATTTCAGCCATTTACAAAGTCTGCTGATTCTGCAACCTACCCTTTTGGGCTGATGTGGAATTCCAAATTCTTGTATATGCTCAACTCTAAGGAAACAATAATACATTTCATAATTTCTTTTTGGTAATATTCCAGATTAAAGTCCCTTTCCTCTCACCCCCACTCTACACACAAAATTCACAAAAGAGCATTTAAGAAAAGAGAGTCAAAATAAACTATTTTCCACAAAGTTCTGTTTCATCATTTAAAGAAAAAAGTGCTAGAATGGACTGCACAACATCAGAGACATCTCGTAGCCCCAGGTAGGCAAAGCAAACAGGTGTAGTGAGCAAGATGAAGAGGGAAAAAGCGAAATGCAGAAAGTATAACCAACTTATGGTGCTTAAGAGTTCCAGGCTCTTATTGCCATACACAAAAAATAGATTAGGTATTACAATATACTCAAATTTCAAGGGAAACCAGAAATATGATTTTTATTTGTGCATGGCATCTTACAAGCTTGAAATGTCAGACCAGATTCAAACGACAAATCTTACTTGAATTGGTCCATGTTGTGCAGATCAAATAAATGTGTCTGCAAGATCATAGATCCAGGGAGTGAGCCTAGCAGAAACCATGGGTGCATTAGGGGCCCCCTCCTGTTTTCCCAGTAAGGCATGAACTCATTTCCACTAGGAAGTCTCTCATTTGTGCAGACTAAAATCTACTTCATTTGGATCACTTCTTACTTTATCAGCCTGTCTTCAGGTAGTCATCGGATACCATATAATTTGTAACTTAGTGATACTCTGCATTTTAAAAGTTATTCTTAAAATTAACTTATCGTGAAGAGTATGTATGTACTGTAGAAAGTATGAAAGTTACCCACAATTCCACCATCTCAGAGCAACCACTGTTTCTAGTTTATTATATTATCTTCTCTTTCATTTTCTTATACATATAAATTTTAATAGTAACTAAGTCATAATGTATATTTAATTTTGTTGAGACACTATTTTCAATTTGTTATGAGTTCTCTTGTGCAAACTAAAAACACTTTTAGAGAAGAAAATTAATTTTTGCACAGCTTTTAAAAATATTTTTCTCCTACAACCTAGATCCAAAACCTTTACCACTGTCTGTGATGAGGACAAACATTTTATGCCAGCCAGTAAGGAAGCATAAATTAATGTAGGCCATTCATGGCATGGCAAGGACAACCAGCCCACAGATGGACAAGGAAAATTTCAAGATCATTGAGGAAATTGCTGTTAATCAGCTACTAACCTCCATTCTGAGTTTTTCAATATCTTCAGAATGTTTATCAATTAAACTTTTTTTCTCTTCCACATATTCTTTCATTTACTTAGATTTATTTTTAATCTTTCTTTTGGTGTTCTAGGCATTGTGCTATGTGCTGGTGATACAGAGACAAATGTGATATCAACCCAAACTTTGCACAGCAGCAGCATTGTAGCCAATGATGTTTAGCCGAGGCATGATTATTGCTAATTGAAAATTTTCATGTAGGTACAATACTAAAGATGGCAATAAATAAGTACCTATTTATAATAATCTTAAATGTAAATGGATTAAATGTTCCAATCAAAAGATATAGTGACTGCATGGATAAGAAAATATGACCCATATATATGCTCTCTAAAAGACTCTCCTCAGAACAAAAGATTTCCACAGGCTGAGAGTAAAGGGATTGAGAAAAATGTTCCACACAAATGGAAATGAAAAAGAGCAGGAGTAGCAATACCTATATCTGACAAAATAGACTTCAAAATGAAGGCCATAAAAAAAGATAAAGCTGGTCATTACATAATTCTAAAGGGAACAATCCAATGAGAGGACATAACCATTGTAAATATGTATGCACCCAATACAAGAGTACCTAAATATGTAAAAAAAAATCTTGGTAGTCTTTTAAGGAAGATATTGATAACAATACCTTCCTTTATTATAATAAAGGATTTTAACACCCCACTGTCAACAATCTACAGATGTCCCAGGCAGAAAAATTAACAAAGATGTAGTGACATTAAATGACGCACTAGAAATGGCTTTAATTAACATGTACAGAATCTTTCATCCCAAACAAGAAGTATATACCTGTACATTATTCTCAAGTGCACATGGATCTTTCACAAAGACAAACCACATGCTAGGCCACAGAACAAGCTCCAACAAATTCAAGAAAATTGAAATCATATCAAGCATTTTCTTGGATCACAATGGCATGAAATTAAAAATCACCTCAATAAGAAGACAAAAACATTCCAATACCTGGAGGCTAAATAGCATGTTATTAAATGATTAATGGGTAACCAATGAGATCAAGAAGTAAATCAAAAAGTTCTTGGAAACAAATGAAAATGAATACACAACACCCTAAAACCTATGGGGTACAGCAAAAGCAGCCCTGAGAAGGAAGTTGATAGCATTACAGGTCTACCTCAGGAGCAAGAAAAATATCTAATAAACAATCAAACACTATACCTAAAGGAACTAGAAAAACAACAACAAACAAAGCACAGAGCAAGTAGAAGGAGGGAAATAATCGAGATCAGAGCAGAAATAAATGGCATAGACTTAAAAAACAATACAGAAGATCAATGAAACCAAGAACTGGTTCTTTGAAAAGATAAACAAGATTGATGAACCTATAACCAGACTCATTGAAAAAAAAAGGAGAGAGGAGCCAAATAAAATCAGAAATGAAAGGTGAAATAACTGATATCACAGAAACACAAAATATTGTAAGAAATTACTGTGAACAAATATATGCCAATCTGTCAACCTGGGGAAAAAAAAGGATAAATTTCTAAAAACATACAACTCCAAAAACTGAAACAGGAAGAAGCAGAAAACCTGAGTAGACTGATAATGATGAATGAAATCAAAGCAGAGATCCAAAATCTCCTGGCACACAAAAAGCTCTTAGCTTCACAGGTGAATTCTACCAAACATTCCGAGAAGAATTATTACTAATCCTTCTCAAACTAGTCCCAAAAACACAAGAGTCAGGGAAGACTTCTGAGCTCTTTCTCCGAGGCCAGTATTATCCTAATTCTAAAACAAGATAAAGACATAACAAAGAAAGAAAATTATAGGCCAATATCACTGATGAACACAGATCCTCTGCAAAATATTACCAAACCAAATACAACAGTGCATCAAAAAGATCATACAGCGTGATCAAGTGGGATTTATCCTGGGAATGCAAGGTTGGTGCAACATTTGCAAATAAATAATGTGATCCATCACATAAACAAAATGAAAGACAAAAATCACATGATCACATTAATAGATGCAGAAAAAGCATTTGATAAAATCCAGCATATATATATATATATATATATATATATATATATATCCCTATGTTTATAGCAATGTTGTTTACAATAAACAAGATTTGCAAATAGCCTAAATGCCCATCGGTAGATGAGTGGGTAAAAAACACTGTGGTACATTTATACAATGAAATACTATGCAGCAGTAAAAAAGAAGCTCTTAAATTTGCAACAGCATGGATGGACTTGGAGAAAATGATGTGAAGTGAATTAGGCCATCAGTGAAAGAAAAACACCACACAATCCTTACTTATATGTGGAATCTAATGAATGCAATAAACTAACAAACAAAATAGTAACAGAAGCTTAGATACATAAAACAGACTGAAAGCTGTTGGAAAGGAGGTGGGGTCGGGTGGGGTGGGTGGAGAAGGATGGGATGAAAGATAGTGAAGGGATTAACCAAAGAACATTTATGCACACCCATGGACATGGACAAAAATATGGGGGTTGGCTTGGAGGAGGGAGAAGGGGGGGCTGGGTGGAGGTAGAGAAAGGGAGAAAAAGCAGGAACAACTGTAACAGTATAAACAATAAAAACAAAATTTTTTTAAAATGTGATATAAACCCAACTTCCTACCTACTTTTTTTTACTAGCGGATACAGTTAAGAAAATATGTAACTAAAATCCCATAAAAGTACTAACATTGAACCTTGATGATCTGAAGCCCCAAACCTAAATGAAAGCCTATAATGCCTGAGTGGACCTCAGCACGTTAGCACAATAGTATATCCTCATAATTTCTACTTCTTATACTGTCCACTTAGAGCATCTGGATAGTTCCTGATCATGTTTGTGTGTCATTTATTATTCCACATGATATTCTATATGCTTTTGTGGCTTACTTTTGTATTCTTTTATGCTTTTCTTATCTAGGATGAATTCTATTATTTTTTCATTTGATATATTTTTTCAATTTGTAGATGCAATTCTGTATTTTTCCTCTCAGTTTTTGAACTTAATGCTCATGTTTTGATCACATGTTGATTATCTCAAGCATTAAAAAACATTTATTTATATTACTAAGTATTAGTTAATTTATATTACTCTACACACCTTGTAGAATACCCATAGCCTCTGAGCTCATAGAAGCTGCATTTTAAGTAATAGAGATGCTAGATGCTAGATGGTACTGAATCTTAGGTTGACTCCTATAGAGTCTTAGAATTTTCCAACCACTCTTAAATGTATTAAAGAAGACAGAATCAAATGACCAATTTTTATCATTAAATAACATATTTGCCTTTCCAGCCTAGTTAAGTGTCCACCTGTGCTGGTAGGAGAGGAGAGTGCCTTTCTCCCAATGGACAGTAGACACAGCCTGTGCCCAGAAACCTGCAATTGCTTACCAAGATCCACCCGCAGGACCTAAGTACCACCCAAAAGCCCCCCTCCTAATACTATCGCATTGGGCATTAGGATTTCAAATCATGAATTTGGAGGAGACATGAACATTCAAAGCGTAGTAGAGCCAGAACAGACACGGTGACAAGAGCAAGTTTAGGAAGGAAACGAGATAGCCGGAGCAGACCAGGCAGCATACTGAGCTCTGGAGGAGGAGGGAAGGTGTGCACGCTCCAGGAGCCATGCACACCTCTGTCTGATTCCTGAACATTACCTCAGCTGTTTGTTTTTATTTTAGCTTGCAGGGCTTTCTGTCCAGGCTATAAAAAGCATGATTTGGCTTCTGATTCTAGAACTGCCCTACTATTGACTATTCAATAAAATTAGGAAAGTAAATATGGCCTGCAGTTATAAATTTCAGAAGCCCAAGCATGCCCTTTACCTACTTATTTATGAAGCAGGTATAGCATTTTATAAGAATCACAGTTATAAACTGTTGTAAGAGCACCTAACAATGCTTAAGAAGTTAGAAATTAAAATAGCTTAAGTTAGATGTTAAACAAATGTTGGCTATCAAGAATATATTTAGAAATAAACTCATATATATATATATATATAGTCACTTAATTTATGACAAAAGAGCCAAAATACACAATGGATGAAGTCTCTTAAATAAATGGTGCTGGGAAACTAAACAGCCCACAAAAGAATGAAATTAACCACTATCTCACACCATACAAAAAATTAACTCAACATGTATTAAAGGTTTGAATGTAAGTGCTGAAACCATAGAACTCCTAGAAGAAAACATAGGTGGTAAGCTCCTTGACATTGGTCTTGTCAATTATATTTTGGCTTTGAAACCAAAAGCAAAAACAACAAAAGGGAAAACTGACGAGTGGGACTACTTCAAACTAAGAAGCTCTGCATGCAAAAGAAACCAACAAAATTAGGTATCATTTGGAATGGAGAAAATACTTGCAAATCATGTTTCTGAGAAGGGTTAACATCCAAAATAATAAAGAATCATACAACTCAAAAAAAAAACAACAAACAAAAAATTTGATTTTAAAAATAGGCAGGGAATCTAGATAGACCTTTTGCTAAAGAAAAAACATGGATGGACAACAGGTACATGAAAACGTGCTCAACATCACTAATCATCAAAAATATACAAATCAAAACTTCAATGAGCTACCACTTCATACCTGTTGGAATGGTTATTATCAAAGGAAAAGAAATAACAAGGGTGAGAATGAGGAGAAAAGGGAACTCTTGCACACTGTTGGTCAGAATGTAAACTGGTACAGCCACTGTGGACAATAGTATGGAGGTTCCTCAAATACTAAAAATACTATATTATCCAGTTGTTCTACTTCTGGGTGTTTATCCCCAAAAATAAAAACACTAACTTGAACGGATATATGTACCCCCATGTTCATTACAGCATTATTTACAATAGCTAAGATATGAAAGCATCTTTAAGGGTCCAGAAATGGATAAATGGATAAAGAAAATATGGTTGCATATACACAATGCAATATTACTCAACCATAAAATAAAGGAAATCTTGCCATTCACAACAACATGGGTGGATTTGGGGGGCATTAGGCTAAGTGAAATAAGTCGCACAGACAATCACACATACTTTTATGATATTGTGTATATGGGGACTCTAAAGTGAAACAACACAAATTGATCTCATGGATACAGAAAATAGACTCATAGTTGCTAGAGGTGGAGAGGAATGGGTTAAGACAGTTAAGCATACAAACTTCCAGCTATAAAATCAGGAAGATGTAATGTATAGCATGCTGACCATAGTTATTAGTACTGTATAATATATGTGAAAGTTGCTAAGGGAGTAGAGCTCAGAAGTTCTCA